AGGATGGAGACCAGGGAGGAGGTGGCAGGATGGAGACCAGGGAGGAGCTGATGTTCCATCTCAGGTCCAGAAGCAGTCTGGGCCATAACTCCGTCCTCCTTAGGGGGCCAGTCTTGGTCTCTTAGGGCCTCCATGGGTTAGATGAGCCCACACAGGAGAGGGGATTTGCTTTCCTTGCAGTCTTCACATTCAATGGGGTCTCCTCTGATGAAGGCCTCATGGCAATGTTTAGAGCCTGACCAGCTGTCCAGGCAGCGCATTAGATAAACTGACCAAGAAGGAACCACCAATACCCCTAGACTTTATTTTAGGGATTGAGAACCAGACTCTCCTTGACTCCTCGCCTGCCTCTGTTGAACAGCAAGACGCTCATATACCTAAGGCCCCATTGATTGAGAAGGGTCCCCAGGAAGTGCCCCAGGAGGGGGCAGCTGCTGAGAGGCAGGAACAGCAGGAGGAGGCCCCCAGCCTGAGCCCAGCACCTACCCACAGCACCTTCCTGTTGGGGGGGTAATAGGGCACCACGGGTCCCAGGACAGGCCATGGGGCTGACAGTGGTGGTGGCAGGTGTGGCTCTCAGGTGCTCCAGCCACAGCTGCAGGCCAGGTGGCTAGTGTGGTGTGTGTCCCTGAGGAAGGGGACAGGGGGAGAGAACCTGAGAGACCAGGCAGGGGACCTGAGAGAACAGCTGGCCCTGACCCTCCCTTCCTAACTAAAGGTCAGCGATGGTGGTAAACACCCTGACACACTGGGGTTTGCTCCCACATGACCCTAGGACGTGGGTGTCATCTTGTACCCACTCCACAGAAAGGGAAACTGAGGCAGGGCAGTGAGGCAGCCTGCCTGTGCTCCAGGGTCTAAACCAGGGCCACCAGGCTCCAGTCCCCCACCCACAGGCCAGGAGAGCCAAGGCTGGAGCCCAGAGCTTGCCAGGCTCAGCCCCCTTCCCATCCCCCAAACCCTCTGGGAGGTGCCACCTGGGCTCCCTCTGAGGAGTGGACCAGGTCCGAGCCCAGGAGGGTCCACAGCCCCTGCCCTCCAGTGCATCACCTCCGGCCTCCTCTTTCTGCTGGGCCTGCTGACCCACCCTCTCTGTGTCACAGGGCTGCTGTGTGTCCTGCTGAGTCTCTCCAGAGCTGGAGCCTGGGACTTTCAGCGTGAGTGTGTGGGGAGCAGCCTGTCCACATCCAGAGCCTGGGAGGGGCCCTGCACCCGCAGCACAGGGAGGAGAGGCCTGGGCAGGGAGGCTCAGGGCATCTGCCCACCTCCTGGGACCTCCTCTGGGGACCACATTGCCCCCTCCCAGACTCTGACCAGTCTGTGCCCCACAGCCTGTGCCCCTTGGTGCCCTCCTAACTCAGAATGTGTCAACGCCACTGCCTGTCGCTGCAAGCCGGGGTTTGCCTCTTCGTCTGTAGAGGTCTTCACCAACTTCCTGGACACCTGTCATGGTAAAGAGGCTTGGGGGAGGGACAGAGGCACATCAGAGATTGTCTAGCAGGTGTGAGTCCCTGGGCTAGTCTCCAGCTCCAGGGGAACAAAATAGGGGAGGGGAGAGTCATAAGGCCCTGCACCCGCAGCCCAGGGGGGAGAGGCCTGGGCAGGGAGGCTCAGGGCATCTCCCCACCTCCTGGGACCTCCTCTGGGAACCACATTGCCCCCTTCCAGCCTCTGACCAGCCTGTGCCCCCACAGCCTGTGCCCCTTGGTGCCCTCCTAACTCAGAATGTGTCAACGCCACTGCCTGTCGCTGCAAGCCGGGGTTTGCCTCTTCATCTGTAGAGGTCTTCACCAACCACCTGGTCACCTGTCATGGTAAAGAGGCTTGCGGGAGGGGCAGAGGCACATCAGAGACTGTCTAGCAGGTGTGAGTATCTGGGTTAGTCTCCAGCTTCAGGGGAACAAATTAGGGGAGAGGAGAGTCATAAGGAGGGAAATGAGATCCAAAGTGTCATTTCCCAGTGTC